AGTTAACTCAGCCCCAGGGGCACAACAATTTAAGACATTGCTTAGGTTTTTTACAAGGCACACATCTGGCTTCTTTCAAGAGAATGAGGACTGCTGACTCAGAGATAGTGCCCAAGAGTTCCGGTGCAGGAAGCATGACTGGGCTAAATATAATACCTGTGTGTGTCAGGACTGGCCTGGTCCTAAGATAAAATAGAAGTCACTTAGGCTGTTGTAAATCACTCATGTGGATGGCCTTTAAGGGGAAAGGATAGCTTTTGGGATAAGTAAAGTCTGTGGGACATGGGCAGAGCCTGTCGGATATAGCAAAGGATCATCAGATTGTAAAATTCCATCCTTCCTGGCATTCCAAGAAGAGCGGTGGGCATACCTCATACCATTGAAGAGGTAAGCTGTGTTTAGCTTTCCTGGCTTCTCCAGTGCTTATGTGTGTGCACAGGCCTTTTTTCCTCTACACCCAAGCCTTTCTGATCCCAGAAGTACTGATCCCAAGCCTTACGCCTTCCACTCAGCCAGCCTGCAGGAGCACAGCGCCCTCCCTTCACAAAGCATCTTGTCTCTTTCCCTGATTCCAGTCACAAGCCCGTTGACCTCCTCAAAAGGCTTCATTAGCAGCCACATTGCTGCTAACTCATAAGCCCCACAATGTATTTCTTTTTAAAAACAATCCTTAAAATTTGTTCTTTTCTCATGTATTACAAACAACATCCCTCCTCCCCTCCCAGTTCCTTCCCCCACCTCCCCTATCCCCAATCCACTCTTCCTCATTTCCCTTCAGAAAAGGGCAGGCCTCCCAGGGATATTAACCAAATGCTTATCAAGTTGTGGTATGATTAGGCACCTCCCCTCCTATGAAGGCTGGACCAGGCAACCCTCTAGGAGGAAAAGGGTACCAAAAGCAGGCAAAAGAGTCAGAGACAGCCCCACTTGTACTGTGAGTCTCACAAGAAGATCGAGCTGCACAACTATAACGTATATGCAGAGGGCCTAAGTCAGAGAGAATTTAGGGATACAGACAGAGCAAAGAATGGTGAGATTGCTCCTGGCCTGAAATGGGTGCCATCTTTGCTCTCCAACAAAGACATGGAGCAAAGCATAGCTGTAAGAACAAGCTTAGCAGAAATGCTACCAAATAAGAAGCTTCTGTGCACACTGATCCTATTTGACTTTCATGAATTAATTAGCATAATCATGAATACACTTCTCTCTCTCTCTATCTTCATGTACCACACCCACTGGGTTGACCAACTGTGGGTTGAAAATATTTGAGAAAGACAAAACAAAACAAATAAACGGTGTCCGTACTAAACATTTGTGGATAAATTTCCTTTTTCTGTTTTTTAGTATTAAAATGCATTTTAATATTTTACCAGTAAAGCATATGACTTTATAATGATTATTCTTTAAGCAAAAGCTATTCTTTTTCTGAGACATGGTTTCCATGTATAGCCTTGGCTGTCCTGGACTTGCTTTGTAGACCAGGCTGGCCTTGAGCTCACAGAGATCCACCTGCATCTGCCTCCCCAAGTGCTGGGATTACAGGTGTGCGCCACCATGCTAAGCGCAAAAGCTATTCTTGAGATATAGGTATATGCTGGCTGATCTTATATCAACTTGATACACAAACTACAGTTGTCTGGAAGGAGGGAATTTAATTGGGAAAATGTGCTGGATAGTTTATGTCATCTTGACGCAAGCTAAAGTCATCCGAGAGGAGGGAATCATAATTAAGAAAATGCTTCCATAAGATTGGGTTATAGACAAGTCTACAAGACATTTTCTTAATTAGTGATTGACGGAGAAGGGCACAGCCCATTGTAAGTGGTGCCATCCCTGGGCTGGTGGTCTTTGGTTCTATAAGAGCAGGATGAGCAAGCCATGGAGAGCAGGCCAGTGAACAGCACCTCTCCATGGCCTCTACTTCAGCTCCTGCCTCCAGGTTTCTGCCCTGTTTGAGTTCCTGTCCTGACTTCCTTCCATGATAAACAGTGATTGGAAAGTGAAAGCTGAATAAACCCTTTCCTCTCCAACTTGCTTTTTGGTCAAGGTGTCTTATAGCAATAGTGATCCTACCTAAGAAAAGATGTAACATCAACAGTGCACTGTTAAAGTCAGACTTTAAGCCACCAACACCTCATTGTTTCATCTCCACCTACACAGAGGTGACAGGGCTTGGCAACAAGTGTGGCCACATTGACAAGGCCCCTGGGGATGGCTGGGGGAACAGACAGCAGGTACAACTGAGTTCCCCAGCAGCTACTTTAACATGACAATCTAGCCAAAGTTACAAAGAGAACCAGAGACAGGGCTGCTGAGCAGTGCAAAGAGAGAGCATATTTACACATATATACATACATACACACACACACACACACACACACACACACATGTCTACATAGCATGCTTCTCAGAATGCATTCATTTCATGGAAAAAAATCCATACAGAGAATAGAACTGGGACCATTGCTGGCTTTGCCTATCTGGGTGATATGACGTTGCTAAAATGATGTTGGCCAGAACACTTAAACTGAGGGCTTTAAAATATGAAATAACAAAAATGCATATTTTGTAATATGGGAAATAAGACTATCTGTCAGAAAAGTAAGACTGGATTTCAGAGAGCCTCCCGTGTCTGAAGGCTCATAAATCGACGCTTTAAGCTCCCCTAACATTGACAGGCCAGGGATGGAAATAACTGCATCTGTCCACATGAGACTGAGGGGTCCTGAGGAAGTTCCCGGAGTCCCTAGGACTTGCCCCACTTCCTACCCAGAACCTATGGCTCCTCCATCCATAGTCCATCCCAGAACACCTTACCTCTGCACAAGAGAGGCCTCCAGAGGGCAGGAAAACAAAACAAAACAGGAACAATATTCAGTGCGGTACCAGGCCCGGAAGGTATGAAGTTGGAGCACTCAACTTCAGTAGTAGTAATAAAATCATGGGGGGGGGGGGGGGGAGATGCTAGAGCAGTGGTTCTCAACCTGTGGGTCGCGACCCCCACGGGATCGAATGACCCTTTCACCAGGGTCACATACCAGATACCCTGTGTATCAGGCGGTTACCCTACAATTCATAACAGTAGCAAAATTACAGTGATGAAGTAGCAATGAAAATAATTTTATGGTTGGGGGTCACCACAACATGAGGAACTGTAGTACAGGGTGTCAGCATTAGAGGTTGAGAATCGCTGGTTTTCAGTCACCTTCCTCCTGCTTCCATCACTGTTACCTTCTTGCTTTCTCCGTGAGTAGGAAAACAGGCTCAAGGTAGACTCAGCTGGCAATAAATAACCTAAAGCAGACACCTGAAAGATACCTGCACAGACTTTTTGTTACCATTTGAAGGGGAACTGTCCCTCACAGCCCCCCGTCCCGTGTTTATACACCTGGTCCTCAGCTGCTGCTGTCTGTGAGGTTGTGGATGCTTTATGAGGCGGCAGTTATCTGGAGGAAGTAGATCACTGGGGTTTGGCCTTGAGGGTACTAGCTTGTCCCTCCTTCCTGTTTCACAGGCGCTTCCTGCTTTATTGAGATGTGAGCAAGACGTCGTCACGCATGCTCGAGCTGCCAAGGAGGCGCCTGCTGCCAACCCTCCCTCTCCGTGATGGACTCTGTCCCCTCAACCCATGGTCCCAAATAAACCTCTCTTACGTGGCTTCTTGTCTGGTGTTTGGTTACTACACTGAGAAAAGTGACTGACACCCCCTTGTTTTTGCCACTGCTTTTTACGAAGCATCTGCACTGTAGTGGGTATTTTAAACAGTCAACACGATTTCAAGCCCATGGGCAAATGCAAATTTACCTAAGGGCCATGAGGATTTGCTAATTTAAGTGAAACCAGAACCAGTTCCCACGGATACTGTGAGATAGTTGAACCTACCAACTCAAGCTGAGACAGAGAAGGAGGCGGAGAAAAAAGGAAAACAAAACCATGCTTACTCATAGTTCTGTTCACTCCTGTATTGTGGTTGGCGGCGTTTGCTGTCTGTAAAAACCAACGTCCCAGAAATGTCTAGCTTCAGAATGACTCCTCCCTTTTCACTTCAAAAATAGTTTTATTGATTCTTTGAGAGTCTCACACATGCACACAATGGATTCTGATTACACCCATCTCCTCATACCCTCCCAAGAGCCCTCCCTATCCTTACACCTCCAATCCCTCCCAACTCTGTGTCTTCCTGTGAGCTGCCCATCCACTGGAGCATGGCCCACTTACCAGGGCCCACATCCTTAAAAAGAAGTGACTCTCCCTCCCCAGGAAGACACCAGCTGTCAGTAGCTTCTCAGCTGAGTGTGGGGCTCAGGAGCCCACCCCCTCCATGCTGAAATGTTGTGAATGCTCCATCTAGTTTGGCTCTTGTACAGGTATCCATAGCTGCTGTGAACTCATGAGCACAGAGGTCCCGTTAATGTTTACAAGACACTGTTTTGTTCCTGTCTTTTCCAACCTCTGTCTCTTACAGTCTGTTTCTTCCTCCTTGGCGGTCCCTGAACTGGTAGGTTTTATGTCAACTTGACACAACCTGGAGTCCTTAGAGTAGAAGGAGCTTCAGTTGAGAAAACGCCTCTGTAAGATCCAGCTGTAGGTCACTTTTAAAAATTAGTGGTCAATGGGGGAGAGCCCAGCCCAGTGGGTGCTTGCCACCCCTGGGCAGGTGGTCCTGGGTTTTCTAAGAAAGCAGGCTGAGCCAGCCAGGGGGAGCAGGCCAGTAAGCAGCACCTCCATGACCTCTGCACCAGCTCTTGCCTCCAGGTTCCTGCCCTGCCTGAGTTCCTGTCCTGGCTGCCTTTGGTGAGGAACGGCAATGTGGGAGTGTGAGCACAATAAACCCTTTTTCCTTCCCAGTTTGCATTTTGGCCGTGGTGTCCCACGGCAGCAGTAGAGACCCTAACTGACACAGTCTGCAAGCCTGAACGGTGGGAGTGCCATGTCCTGTTTGCGGCTGAGCCCTTCGGGGACAATCAACTCTGAACTTTGAGCAGTGGTGAGTTTCTGTGCTAACCCTGGTCACTGCGAACAGGAACTTTGGGTCTGGCTGCGGCACTAGTCTATGAACACAGAGACACAAATTTAGAGAGCAGATTGATACTGTTGCCCCTTCAGCAAAATCATTGTAGTAGGCTCACCACTGGGGGCTCCGAGCCCTCCAATCATGAATTCTTGGCCACAGGTACCGGCCATGCAGCTCCTCCTGTGGAGTGGGGGCCTTAAATTCAGTCAGGCTTTTGGTTTAGAGTTTTTAGTTCTGACTCAGTCCTCTAGGACAGCACCAACTAGTATCTTGGTCTCTGGGCTGGTTTTGGCTGGGAAACTGCTAGTTACCAGTTCAGGATCAGATGGGGATTATTAGTATTTGAGTCTAAAAATCTTAGAAACTTTTATTAAAAATATTTTGTTATTTTGGCTTTTTTCCGTTATTGAAATGTGTTCAATTGTCTCTAATAAAAATGGGGAAGTAACTTAAGAAAACAGCTGCTGCTAAGTATGAAGACCTGAGTAGCACACGCTTGGGAGCTGAATGCACACTTTGGGCTAGGTGGCCAGCTTCAGGTACCGGTAGGAGACTTTGTGTGGAGTAAACAAGGCACATGGTTCCTGAGGAATGGCACCCGAGGTTGATATCTGTATTCTACACACAGGCATACACCTTTGCACCAGTCATGCGTGAGCATGTATGAACACACACACACACACACACACACACCTGCACATATATGTACATACAGGATAAAATAAAACACAAATAAGTTGGGACTATTATGTTTTTGTGTTTTCCTCTAACTTACTATGTAGCCCCAGCTAGTCTCAAAGTAGAAATTCTCCTGCCTCAGCTTCCCAAGCCTGGCCTCACAGGCTTGCATCACAATGCTTGGCTTCCATTGCAGTTTTTAGGAATTCACGTACAGTATATATTATGGAAGTATCAACACCACTTTGAAAATCAAACATACACATGTGACACACACATAACCTGGTTCTTGCCCAGAGTTTGGGAAACATGGTTCTCAAGACCTGAGGACTTGTTCCAATTTTTTTCCACTTTCAATTGGCAATTAATGGTTGCTGTGGGAGGGGGTGTCATTTTCCTCAGTGGTGTAGCCACCGAGAGGTGAACCTTTCTTTAGTAAGTAACCCCACCTGTGTTCCTGCAAACAACTCCAACTAAGCTCAGCGAACCACATACAAAAAGAAGTGAAAGTAGGGAGGGAACCTGTTAGAAGGAAGAAGGATGTCAGGAAAAAAGGAAGGGGACTAAGAGTGGGAGGAACGGAAGATGAAATGTCTAAAATTCATTATGTGTTTACATATCCATGTATAAATTTGCCAAGGAATGAAATTAGGAAAAAAAAAACCTTAGAATTTGGTTGAGCATAATCTTACATATCCCAGAAAATGTTTTAGATACTGAAAGTTTATGTATTGATGAGAAACAGTTTCCATATTCATGAAACTTAAGCCTAGCTGATAAAGTAGAACTTGACATTTTTGAGGGGGAATTTGCCAGTTTCTTCTCTGGAACGCATCGTGTCACTCTTGATCCTTGAACTGTTGAACGGCCCTTTGAAAGGGATGCTTACTGTTAGGCTTTTTCTAATAGGGGGCCAGCAGTGGCTCCCCTCCCCTACTCAGCAGGCACAGTGAGCTGTGGGTAAATCTGTACAGGAGCCAAGGAGGCTTCTCTGTCTCCACTTCAGTCTCAGGACAACAATGGCCCAAAGAAGAACTGAAGAGGGAGAAGCTAAGGCTCCTGACTCGGGTTCCTCATGAGGGTCTGGTGTGGAAGGGGCTAACGGTGCAGCTGTTGAGAAGACAGGGGGCCTCCCCTTCCTCGTCATGAAAGTTTAATGTGATCTGCATGGGGAACTGCTCTATCACGGATGCCTTTGCACGGTGGCTGTTGATACCCGGAGGAAGCAGATTCTACATGGCAGGACTAGGGAACTATCCACCACAGTTCTAGTGGATTAGCTACGGCACCCTCACATGCCACTTGCCACTGGTCCCAATGCAAGACACATTTGGCTGAAGGGACATTTGGGACTTTCTGTTTTAGTCACAGTTGTGAACAGTCAGTCCCTTACATGACAGCTCAGATCAGCCCTCTGGTAGGCTGACTTAGCTCTCTGGGAGGCTAGGAGCTGCCTGATCTGGATGCTGGGAATTGAACTCCAGTGCTCTGTAAGACTGTTCCCTTAACCACTGAGCCATTTCTCCAGCCTAATCATGATGGCTTTTCACACACATACACTTCAGTTGTATCCATTCCCAGGTATAAACCTGCCCTGTGCCTCTTTTCCCCTTGTGCGGCTGCCCTGTGTATTTATTTTTTAAATCCAGAAGCTATATATGAAAGGAAATATGTCTGTCTGCACTGTCTGAGTTGGGCTTAAAATGATGACCTCCAGCTTCATCCATCCCCCTGAAAATGACATCATTTTATTTTAGTTTTTTCTTTAAGGCTAAATAGTGCTCTGATGGGAACACATGTCATATTTTCTTTAACCATCCACCCTGGCTGATTCCATGACGCGGCTGTTGTGAATGGTTAAGGTGATTAAGGAGTCCTCAGGCCCTAGGCCAGACACTTTGTTTGTAAAATCTGTGGGAAGGGCAGGGTATAAGACTGTAGTGGGCTTCCGTTGCCATAGCAGTCTGACATCACGGGTCTGTAGTCTGGACTTTATGCAGAAGCCACAGTTGTGTTAACAAACTCAGTATTTCCTTTCTTTACTCTTCTCCCTTCCTCTCCACTTAAAAAAATCCTCCTGCCTGCCTCTGCCTCTTCTGCTCATTTCTCTTGTCTGCCTCCTTTATTCTCTCTTTTTCTCTTTTCCTCCTTTTACTTATTTTTCTTCCCCTCTCACCCGTTCCCCCTCTGCTTTCCTTCTTCCCTTCCTCCTCCTCCTTAGGTTTTCTCTTTTCTCCTGAGGCTAGGTTTCACTGAGTATCCCAGGCTGCCTTTGACAGGACGCCCTCTCCCCCTGCAGCCCCCCTGAATGCTGAGATCTCTCTTTCTTTTGACACTTCCTTGAATTCTGCAGTTAGAGGCTTCGTGGTCAGGCCAGATAATGCGCAGAAAGGGCAGTGGTGCTACTCCTCCAGATAAGGACAACAGATGGTATCGCCATCAGCGTAGGGTGGCACCCACCAACCCCCAGCCCATCCCTCACCACCACCACCCCGGGGCTGCCCACTTCAAATGGCTTAGTCAAAGACAACATTTCCTTTTTGACAGACAAAGCCTGTGTAGACCTGGAAAGAAGTTCACTGGCTGCTCACTCAGAGGTCACGGAGGAAAACACCAGACGGGTGTTTTCCATACATTCTGGGTGGGGTTTTTTTGTTTGTTTGTTTGTTTGTTTATTTGTAATTGTCTGGCTCCTTCCAGACAATTAAGGGACAGACAGACTACAGATAGACACAAGAGCAGCTCTATGTAGATCTGGAAGCTGCAGACGTGCCCCAGTCCCAAACGGTAGGAGTAGGTTGATGAGAAGGCGCGGGCTTAGAAGATGATCACAAAGACCCCTTCTAACTGAGGTGCTCATAACCTCTCTCTATTCCTCACCCAGAGAGAAGGGGTGGATTTCTAGGAGACCAGGAAGGTTTAACTCATGCCCAGAAGGAGAAAAAGTGAGATGGAAATTAATAGCATCCTCAGAGAGGCTCTTGTTAACATCTCACCACTAAATGCTGTCTGTATTACCCAAAAGATAGCACTCTGGAAGCCTGGAGGGCAAGGCAAACTCTTTCAGCCCAGGAATGAACAACTCCTTAAAACAAAAACAGAAAAACCTCAGTGTGGGTTCAGCAAACTGAAGACTGAACCGTTTTCTTGGGGTAAAATGGCCCGAGGGCCATCCCAAAGCCCTCTAGGCTTAAAGCACTTTGCCGAAGCCTGGCAGGCTGCAGGCTCACGGGGCTTGTAAGTCACTCACCTTTCTAGGATACAGCTTTCCACACAGCCTCTTCCCCAGGGCTACCGCTGCAACTATGAAGGTTAAAGCAGCGATGCAAGACGGGATGAAAACATGAAGTGATGATGTTCTGGGGACTTTGGGTTCCATCCAGCCTGGGTGAATGAGAGAACCAGAACTCCATCACAGGGCAGCTCAGAGCTAGACCGAGGGGGCTTCCTGAAGGGGCTCCTACCACACCACCATGGACCAAGCCTCCACTCCACACCTCTCCCACACAGACTCCCATTTCTTTTCACAGTCACCCAGTGAAGCAGTCTCTACTTTGATCTTCATTTTCACTGGTGGGGGATGGGGAGGAGTGAGGCTGAGACATTTCCCCAAAGTCAGACAGCACATGATTCATCTGAGATACAGTCCAGACTGTCTGGGCCCAGATCCTGTGTCTTTTGCCACTCTGTCATTTCATCCACCTACCCACACTTTCTTTTCTTTCTTTCTCCCCCACCCCATCTCTGTCTCTATTCTCTACCTCCTTTTTCTCTCTCTTCATCACCCTGCCTTTCTCAATCAAGTAGGAAAGCCCCTAAGCGCACGCGCGCACACACACACAGGCACACAATTATTTTCCCCCTTACTGATAAGAACTCAAGAGGTTAGAATTTGTACCATTAGTTTAAACTTAAAATTTAAAGACCCTCACGAGCCTTTGGAAACAGCAGAGCATCTCAGAAAGGGAGGACATGTTAAATCCAGCCAGTCGGGTGTGAATGGCTGCAACTGACCCCCCTTGTCTTGTCTGGACTGACCAAGGTGCTACCAATGAGGACGGCATCCACTTAGTGAGGAGGCGATAGGAAGAGCGATTTAGAGGCTGGGGAACACCTTTGCAGAGTGCTGGGCATCTTCAGATTGGCCAGAGGGAGAGAAGAAAGGACAGCAGGGGTGTTCACACTATGGCAATTAACGGTCTCACAAGTTAGCCTGTGCCTATTTCTGAGACTGGAACGTTGCCTCATGGAGTAATGGACACAGACTAAGCCTAACTGCTGTATCAGAACAATTGTACACAAGTATTCAGGAAGGAGGTGTGCGGGGTGTGTGTGATTCTGGCTGCTCTGCTCCTGCCTCTCCCTCTACAGTGTTGAGAACCATGGAACAGCCCAGCTGAGGAAGGATTAGACATCCCTTAGTTCTGAGTCAGTTTAGAGCCCGGGAAGCCTCGGGGATCCTAAATAATCCATCCGTGGCCATTGCTTCCAAGGAAGTAACACAGCCAGGGTTGCAGTTCCAGATCTTCCTGACCCAAAGCTCAAGCTCCATAGGAATCATCCTCATCCAAGAGCATGTGGACACTAAGACAAAAGAAGATGAGGGCTTGTTTGCTGAGGGTTGTTGCAAAACTGATCATACTGTCTCTTTACTATAAAATGCATGCTGCGTGCTGCACTGTGAATCAGGCCCCTGCCTCAGTCAGTACCTTTGAGAACCCTTGTTCTGTCCAGGTTTGCTCATAGATTCTTCCAGGTGTGGAATTTCTGCGCATCCCTGAAGACTTCAGCCTCCTTAGACTGTATTTGGAGGACAAGGATGGTACCTAAGCCATCCTTAGGTCCTGTATGAAGCCCATGAAAGGGGTAAGTCAAGGTTTCTGAGCTGAGCTGACTATCTAGTCCACCTAGTCGAATAGAAGTTACCTTGTAGCATCCTGCTGGTTATTAATCTTACCAGCTCCCTCTCTCCCAGTGCCAAGTTATTGGCACATATAGCTCTCAGAGATTGTTTTTCTAGATCCTTGGGCCTGTACTTACATGTAGCCTGCAATATAAACTAAGTTCAGACCAAGAATGGGTCTTCTGGATCTTGACTTTAAACCATCAGAGGTCTCTTCCAACATCCTTTCCTCTCTGAGGGCAGAGACGTAGATCTAGTGATGACCCAGCTTTGACAATCCAACAAGGACAATATCCTGAGGAATGGCAGATCAACAAGATGGAAATAACCTGGGTCGCGGAATGACTTATAGGATGTAGTCATTTAGATGCTTGGAGCACTTTCTCTCTCTAAGTATTATGTAAAGGGAAACGCACTGCTGCCTTGACTCATTGTACGTTTGAATATCTTCATTACAGCAGCACAGCCTACATATTTTTCTGTATTACTTTAGGATAACTGCATTCTCACTAAGAATGATAAGATAAGCAACAGGAAAAATCTCTGTCCTAGGCTTACCACACAGTCCTATGCACTCAGAAAAAAGGCAGGAATCTTGCTGGAGGTGACATAGTTTTTCCTCCTTTTACTCTTTAGCATCATGTTTCCTTCAGTTACCACAGAAACTTTTTAATACGTGCATCATCATTTACTCTCACTGCATACCTGAGAGACTGAGTTCTAGGATAGCCCCATGGGATGTTCAAGTTCCAAAGCCAGGAGATGACAGAGATAGCAGAGATAGCAGGCTTAAGTCTGGTTTCAGAGTCTATGTTCTCTTTTGCTTCCTGGACTCACCTCCAGGCGCCCCCGGAAGGCTTTACCTTTCTGCCAGCTCCACCAGGGTGTTTCACAGTTACTTCTATGTTCTAGCCCAGTTACATTTCCCTGTGAAAGTGCAGTTACTGACTGAGGAAAATGACCTAATAACTCTCTAACTTCTGACCAAAATTTAGTACTTTCAGCCTTCTGTTCTAGAGTTGCAGGCATCCTCCCACCCCGGGACTCTCATTTCTGCATCTGTTTAATTCACTGACTTCTGGAGAAACCCGAGGTGGTTCACAGCAGTCAGCAGTGGATGAGTAGCTCAGTCTATGAGAATGAGTAGAAACAGGGTAGTTATAAATCAGCTAGACAACGCTCTTAAGAAGGAGATGTGCCAGGCATGCCTGGCACATGCCTGCAATCCCAGCACTCAGGGAGACAGAGGCAGGAGGATCTCTGTGAGTTTGAGGCTAGCCTGGACTGCAAAGGGAGTCCAGGACAGCCAGGGATGCACAGAGAAACCCTGTCTCAGAAAGAAGAAGAAGGAGGAAGAAGAGGAAGAGGAGGAGGAGGAACAGGAGGAGGAGGAGAAGAAGAAGAAGAAGAGACAGCTACAATGAAAGGACCTCTTAGGAGGATGTGACTGTGTTTTTCCTGCTGCTATTCTTTTGTATTACAAATCAGGGTGTTGTATCTGATCTGACTATCTACACAGACAAGGAGCTTTAAAATTATGTCTCCAACCCAACAAGACAGCATTTCCCAAGCACTTGCCATGGTCAAAACACTCAGCTTTCACTAGACCTGGATATAAAGAATCATGTGAACTATGAGAAGGTATGGATAATATAAATGTTTTCAGAAGCCCAGCATACACACAGTGCCAGGAAAACAAGCAAGTGATGGTAATAGATCTCAATGAGCAGGATGGAAGCCTGAGTCCCTTGCATTCTGAAGTTGGGTGAGCTGCCTTAGAGAGAGGGTTGGATGGGTGATGCCAAATAATGTTGCTTTATGGGAGAGGAACTTAAGGCACAAAGAAGGTGTAGAAGTGGGAAAGGTATTGTAACAGGACCCAGGCCTTAGCACAACTGACTCCATAATGGAAGGGCTATTCAGGCCATAAAACTCAGCAAGTAGACAGCACCCCCTGCCAAACTGAAAACAAAGACCTGATCCATCAAAGTCCATAGTTCTGGGAAAGTCTCTAAATGCACCAACCTTGTTTTGTTTTTTTTTTTGTTTGTTTGTTTGTTTGTTTGTTTGTTTGTTTTATCTTTGTTTTGACTTGTGTAGTTTCGCTTTTTGTGCTTAAAAGCTCATCCTGAGAAGGACATGGGAGATCCAGAACACCCAGATTTAGTCTCTGGCCTCCTTCTAAAGGCTTTCTATTGGCTGGCCCCATGTCCAAGCAGTCTTCTCTGGTGGGTACCCCATGACATCTCTGGAGGTCCCACTGAGGCCCCAGAGACTAGACCTCAAGACACTGGAAATCTCAGAGGCCCTTGGAGCAAGGAAGAGTGCAGTGGTCAAGAGGCTCCTAGGGGATGCAAAACCCGAGTTCTGGACCCCCAGGACTCTGTTTGAACAATTGCCATCTAATGCTTTGGAGGAGTCTGAGACCTCCACCCCCAAAGGAAACAAATTAGAAAGTTTCCTGGTTTTTCACCTCAGAAGCTAAGTCTGATTAAGGTGCCTTCTGTTTAAACATATAGGAGAGGTCAGAAGTGGCTGCTGATCCAGTGTCTGGGATCCATGTGAGATTCTGGCGCTGGATTCCCTCTGTCTGGTCAAGTGTGTGAATGTGGCCACCTTGGTTGTCTTTACTGTGTGTGTATCTCTCTGTGGCTCTATACGTGTTTCTGTCAGTTCCCTTTCCCTGGATGGACCAGTTGCTACCTCTGTGGTGAGAACTCCCTGGCTTAAGACTGGTGTCCCCACCTGTTGGGGTCTGAATCCCTTTGGCTCTGCCAGGTTGCTGAGAGAACTGCCCCCTCCAAAAGTAAAACAAACAAGAACAAACAGACAACAAACAAACAAAACCCAAATGCCTCCACCTGTCCCACTCCTGGAGCAGGAGCTCTCGATGATTTCCTTGCTTGCGGCCTGCAGGGCAGGTCCCTGTGTAGAGGTGGGGAGAGGCACGGCAGGAGCCAAGGAGCCCCTGCTCCCCTTCCTCTACCTGTTCTTAGTAACCCCAGGAAAGGGGAAGAGAGAAGTCTTGCTCCTTCTTTCATGACTTACATCTCCTTACAACAAATGATCTGTATAACTGAAAACCTAGCATTCTCTAAAAAGAGGCAGAAAAGTCATGTCAGGCCCAGGTGAAGACAACACTGTTGGACAGTGCAGCCTACACAGAAGAGATTTTTCCTTCTGTCCAACACTGACCAAGGAGGCATTCTTCACGGGGGCCTTTTCAGAAGGGTTAAGGACAGATTCTAAAGAGATTTCCTTTGCTACCGAGTCAGCCCCAGATACCAGGAGAATGTTACAAAAGCCAGAAAAAAGTCTAAGGTATAAGTAGGTCCCAGTTGTTGGGGTAGCTCAAAGGTGTTTTAACCGCAGGAAACCGACTGAAAGACAAGGCCCTTTGCATAACCTGAAATCCACTGTCACATTCTCTGACGATGAAACACAGTTAGAGCCAACAAAATTTTGGTGTCTTGCCCTCAAT